AAGATTAATCCCCTGTCAAGTGGATAACTGGAAAAGATTTTCTCCCAGCCTGTAGCCTATCTCTTCAAGACTGGTAATTATCTCCTTTGCTGTGCAGAAGCCTTTTGATTTGATGCAATCCCATTTATCAATTCTTGCTCTCATTTCCTGAGCTACTGGAGTCCTTTTCAAAAAGGTGTTGCCTATACCTATATTATGAAGTGGTTTCCCTATAGTTGTTTCAAACTTTAGGTCTTACATCAGGAACTGTGATCCATCTTGAATTGATTTTTATACAAGATGATAGATATAGGAATCTAGTTTTAGTCTTCTATATGTGAATACACAGTTTTCTCAGCACTTGTTGTAATAAAGCTGTCTTTTCTCCAATGTATGTTTTCAGACCTTTGTTGAGAATCGGGTAGCTGTAGCTACCATGTGGGTTTATTTCTGGATCCACTATTCTACGCCATTTATCCACGTCTTTTTGAGCCAATATCATGTTGTTTTTGTTACTATGAATCTATAGTATAATTTGAAATTTGAAATTGTGATACCTCCAGCATTGCTCTTTTTGCTCAGGATTGCTTTGACTATGTGGAGTCTTTTGTGCTTCCATATGACTGTTAGTATTTTTTTCTGTTTTTGTGAAAAATGTCATTAGAATTTTGGTAGGGACTGCAATGAATCTGCATATTAATTTGGTTAATATAACCTTTTTCATAATATTAATTCTTCCAATCTATGTACCTGGGAGGTCTTTCCATTCTCTAGTATCTTCTTCAATTTCTTTCTTCAGTGTTTCATAGTTTTCATTGTAGAGGGCTTTCATCTTGGTTAAGTCTATTCCTAGTTTTGGAGGGGGCGGGGGGTTGAGGCTATTTTGAATGGGATTATTTTCCTGATTTATTTCTCAGCATGTTCATTATTGGTATATAGAAAAGCTACTGATTTTTGTGTGCTGAGTTTGTATCCTGCTACTTTGTTAAAAGTGTTAGCAGATCTAAGAGTCTTCCGGTGGACTTGTTTGGGTCCTTCAGGTAGAGGATGATATCATCTGCATGTAAGGATAATTTGAATTCTTCCTTTCCTATTTGTATCCCTTTTATTTCTCTTGCCTTATTTCTTTGGCCAAGAATTCAAACACTATATTGAATAAGAATGAATACAGTGGACACCTTTGTCTCATTCCTGATTTTAGAGGGAGTTTTCAGTTTTTCCCATTTGGTATATGTTGGCTATAGTTTTGTCATATATATCCTTTATTATGTTGGACTGTAATCTTTCCATTGCTAGTTTCTTTGAGACTTTTATAGTGAAGGGATATTGAATTTGGTTAGAGGCTGTTCCTGTATCTTTTGAGATAATCATGTGATTTTTTTCCTGATTCTATTTATGTGCTGTAGTACGTTTATTGATTTGCATATGTTGAACTATCCTTTCATCCCTGGAATGAAACCAACTTGGTCATGGTATATCATCTCTTTATTGTTTATTGAATTTAGTTTGCAAGAATTTATTGAGGATTTTTGTGTCTATGTTTATCAGGGAGATTGGTTTATAGGTTGTTTTTTTTTTTTCTGTTGTGTCCTTATCCAGTTTTGCTATCAAGGTAATACTGGCTTCATAGAATGAGTTTAGAAGTGTTGTTTCCCTTTATAGTTTTATGGAACAGTTTGCAGAGCACTGGGATTAGTTCTTCTTTAAAGTTCTGATAGAATTCAGAGAATCCATTGTTGGGAGATTTTTTTTTTTATTACTGCTTCAGTCTCATTGCTTGTTAGAAGTCTGTTTAAGTTGTTTATATCCTCTTGGTTCCATTTTTGTAGGTCATGTGTGTCTAGAAATTTATCCATTTCTTCTAGATTTTCCAATTTCTTAGAATATGAGTTTTCAAAGTATTCCCTAATCATCCTCTTTATTTCAGTAATATCTATGGTAATATTCTTTTTTTCCACCTCCAATTTCTGTACTGTTTTACAATAGGAAAAGCTAGACCCAGAATTGTCCTAATTTGCCCAATCATATGGGAAGTAGTTGCTGCACCTCCTGTTAATAAGCCTGTACTACCCTCAATTGCTTAATGGGCTTGAGACCTTGTTTTGTTTTTTAATGATTAAGTTCTTTTTGAAGTAAAATCTTTTTTTTTTTCAGCGCTTAGAGTAGAACCCAGGGTCTTATACCTGCTAGACATGTGCTATACCAGTAAGCTATATCCCAGACCATGTTTTTGCACATAAAATCTTCACTCCTCACTCAAATATATAAAAACAGACCAGGCTTTGTGAGTATAATTAGCATATATAAATATAATTTATTTTGTATTTAAATGTATAACATAAGACAATTAACAAAAACAGTAGTTTTCTTTTTAATATGCTCTTTTGTTTTGAAATGGTTTTAGATTTGCAGAAAAGTTGCAAAAACAAGAAAGAGAGCTCCAGTTTAGCCCTCAGCACCCCCATTGTTGCATGTTACATCACCATGCTGTATTTCTCAAAATTAAGAAAGTGACATGGGAAAATTATCATTAACCCCATTCCATTCTTTATTTGGATTTCAGTGATTTTTTCCATCAATGTTTTCTTTCTGATTCAGGGTCCAGAACAGGCCCAAGTTTCATTGACTCTCTTTTGACAAACACTAAAACATAATGTCAGAAATTATGTTACATTATCAGATGCTCAGTTTTGTGACTTAAGGTAAGGTACTGCCTTGAATACGTAGAAGAAATACTATTTGTTAAAAAAAAAAAAACCAGCAGCATGCTGGATGAGCAGTTACCAAAATCCACATGGTGTCATTACCTGATTGTGCAGCCCAGAGGAGAATACAGTAATGCTTACCAGCAATTCACTTAACTTTCTTAGTTAGCTCAGCTCCTGTAACAAAGTACCCCAGACTTGGTGGCTTTAAAAATAGACATTTATTTTTCACAGTTTTTGAGTCTAGAAGTCCTAGGTGCTAGCTAATGCTGTTCCTGGTGAGGGTCCTCCTCCTGGCTTGTACATGTCTGTGTCCTCACATGGCCTTATTGCTGTACCCACTTGCAGAGATTGCATGTGTTTTCATTCCTTTCTTCTTATACAGTCACCAGTACTGAGATTAAGCCCCATTCTTATGACTTGACTTAACCATAATTACCTCCTAAAGATCATGTCTCCAAATGTCAAATTGGGGGAACATATCATATGAGTGGGAGATTATAACTCAGCTCATAGTATAGTCCAAAGACTGAAATTATGTGAAATATTTTAAATTCAATCATGAAACAGTATAACATGGAAACTTTCTCCATTTTATACAGAATGTCGATGCAAGTGAAGATATATTTTGTAAAATGCTTGACACATGTGAAAATGTAAATATTTAGATCACATGTTAATGTGTCATTAAACAAGAATATGTGTCATCTGAACGGATAGTGTAAAAACAAGTACAAGAAGAACATCTCAAAAGTACTTGTCTTATGAAAGCTGTTACCAAAAGTTTTCAGGTCATCATTAGGTGTTACTTAGATGTCAAAAATATTACATCCTTGCTGAAGCACTTATCTGGCATGTGCAAGGCCCTGAGTTTGATCCCCCAGCACTTAAAAAAAAATATATTGCATCCTTTAGAATAATGCCAAACGACTCTTATTTGTTACTTTTATAGACCATGAGTCCTAGAACTTACTTTTTGTTCTGTACTAAAGCAGGATACCGGTACAGACACTTCATACAGCATAAGAAACTCTTGGGGTTTGCTTTGATTTTGCCAAAAAGTGATTAGTTAAATTTGCCCAAGTAACTACATAGCAGCCTCTCATGCCTGCCCTATCTCAGTTAACTAGCACATGGCTCAACACTGAAGGTCAAGTAGGTCCCCAGAAAAAGTGGGTAGGAAGTGGCTGATTCAGATGGGAAGTGTGGTGGGTGGTAATTCTATTAATCAAGAAAACTATGGGAGAAGGAGGTTTGGAAGGCGGGAGGGAGGGAAGTTGAAGGATTTTTGGATGTATAGATAGAGATATTTATTTTGTCTTCCAAATTATGGAGAACATAATATTCAGTGACACTTGAAGGTAAATTAAAAGCTATTTTTTGTTAAAGAGGAGATGCCATTAAGTCTCTTTATTATGGGATTGAAAGATCGGTAAGGGGGAGGAATTGTTGGGACTTAAAAAAATTGCTGAATGGGTGACTGGTTGGCATGGTTCATCTAGAAACCTGGATTTATGAACTTTTATATTCTCACAGTGATATTTTATTATTCTGTTAATGTTTTGTGTAATTTATTAAATTGTGGTTTGTTCAGTTACTATATCAAATGATTAACTTTACTTTGATGAGGCTCTGAAGGGTTTATATTCAGCCTTTGAGTATTTAAGTATATAGTTCAACAAGAATCATTATATCCAGAAACACAAGTAGTTCTTGAGTGTAAAGCTTCACGTTTAATACAGTGATCCTTCAGTATCCAGAGCGGGGGTGTGTTCCAGGACCCCTGCAGTTACCAGAACCCAGAAGGGGTTCTAGCCCATTTCATAAAGTAGAGTACTATTTGCATATAAGCTTACAGTCCCTCCTATATACTTAAAATCTTCTCTAAATTATACTCTCTAATACAATGTAAACATTATGTAAGCAGTTATTATGCTGTATTGCTTAGGGTTACAAGATAAGAAAAAAGCCTGCCCATATTCAGTATAGATGCACTTTTTAAAATGTTTTGATCCAAAGTTGGTTGATTCTGGATACAGAAGTGACAGATCCAGATAACAGACTATATGGCAAAATATAGCTGTGTTTCACTGCTACATGTGTTTCTTACCTTCTGTTACCAAGTCTCCCCACTTTTGCTCACATTCCCTTGATAGTAGAGGCTCCTGGAAGAGTCTGAAATAGTGTGGTTTTTCTGCAGAGGCTTCGCCTCACTCTGGAAGCTCAAGCTGGTCACCTAAACTCTGCTTCTGGGATACATGGGATAGAATCCTGTGAGTTGGACAAAAGTACTCACAAGCTGTTCTCTGTTCCTAGGTGGTTCCCATGCTTCCCAGGATGCTGTGTGAGGAGCTGTGTAGCCTCAATCCCATGACCGACAAGCTGACCTTCTCTGTGATCTGGACATTGACTCCTGAGGGCAAGGTAACAACTTACATGCTGTTGTTCATGCTGTTCCACTTATCACCATCCCATTCTGTGAGTCATGGTAAGCACCACTATGTGCCAGTGATGGGATGGAGTGCAGTGGTGGAAGGATGTGGGAGGCATGGGGCAGCCACTGTAGGCAAGAAGTGTAAGGGCCCTGGCCTCTGAAGAGCTACCTGTTCTGTGCAGGAGGCAAGACTGACCCTGAACACTTGGATAGGATGGCTTCTCATCAGTTTCCAGTTGAAGGATGAAATGGAGGAAGCATGAGGTGGGAAGCTAGGGCAGAAGATGGGTTCAGCAGGGTGAGTATCCTGGGAAGGAAGGACGGACAGCTGGACTGCAGTCAACAGAGCAGGGTCTATGTGAGGAGGACACCTGGGGAATAAGGAGTTTGTGTAGGTGGGAGGCATCCAAGTGGGGAAAGTCTCAAGTAGAAGTCACGAATAAATTGTAGGTATCATGAGGAAAGTTGCATCTTAGCAAAATGAGTGCTACAGGATGGTGGAGGATGGCAAGGGGTGGGAAGACACATAAGGTGAGGAAAGCAGGGACTGAGGACAGAGGGGAGGAGAATGTCAGCAAGTACTCCCCAGACAAAGGGAATAAAGGAGAAGATAAAGACTCTAGAAGAGGACTAAAGGTTTGGCTCAAGTGGTAGAGCACTTGCTCTGTGAGAGCTGATCCCTGAGTTCAAACCCCAGTCCCACCCAAAAAAAAAAAAAAAAAAAAAAAAAGACTATAGGAAAAAACTCGTTCTCCCCCACCGCCAAGCACACGGCTTTAAGTATCCAGAATAGGGAATGATTAAGTATTCTGTGGTGCCTACTCAGTACAGTGTAATGCAGTTACTGAAGCCGATTACAAAGACTATGGGAGACCATGGGAGTTATTTATGCTGTAATATTAAATGAAAATAAAAAAGATACTTAATTATAAAGAGGTTCCAAATAAAGATGGAGGATTGAATAACCACATTTACTTTCATTTCATCCCAAAACCTCACTAAAACAACAGTAAAGAGATTTTTTTAAAGGCATAAACCCACAAGGACAAAGAGAGTGGGAGAGGAGACAACAGCAACAAAATGTTGGAAGCTGGGTAGCAGATGGATGAGTGGTAACTAACTTAGCAGTCCTGAAAAAGCTGAATCCTAAGCCAGCAACAGAGGAAGCCAAAAACAAAAAATTCAGAAATTGACAGCACCAGATAACTCTAGAAGGCAGGGGAAGGGTGTGTGAAAATGAAGCTGACAGTAGTATTGGTTGGAAGTTTATTTTAAAAGATTGGCCCTCCTGGCCTTAGCAGCAACCCAGGAATTTGTTCTCTAGACAGGACAAAGGAACTGGGTACCTCTGGGAGTACTGGGTGAATGTTAAAGAGTCCCAACTCCAGAAATCTGGGAGCCAGACCTGTACTCATTGAGTCAGGAGATGGGAACATCTTTCTCTGAGGGATCTGATTAGTGAAGAATAAAGTCTTAGTGACCCTAAGGGTTTCTCAACCAACAGACCAGCTCTGTCTCTTTGCAATAAAGCTTACAGAAAATAAGCTCCACCTATACAGATATGAAGAGACAACTAAGAATCTAGGATGAAACAGGAAAGAAAAGAAAGCTAACAGAAAAAGGTAACCAGGACAAAAACATACTCAACATGGAACTGACATTTATATCCTTAAAGAACTTTTTAACGAGAGAACTTATCACAAGATCTAACTTTTTAAAAATTGAGAAAAGAGCTCCTAGAAATTAAAAACAGGATAGAAGAAATGAAGAAGAGTAAAGATTCTGGTTGGAAGGTGAAGTTGAAGAATTGTCTCAGAAAGAGATTTTAAAAAGATAAGAAAATTAGAGAAATAATCCAAGATATCCAGCATTCCAGAAATACAAAGCAAAGAAAAGAGAGGGGAAGAAATGACCAAATAATTCTAAATGCTGCATTCCTGGAGGATGTGACCTGGAAAGAGCTCCCTACCAGCATAGTGGTAACATATCATCTGCACGACACACCATCATAGAATTCTAGGACACTGGAAACAAAAGATCCCATTGATTTCTAAGAAGGGAAGGAAATCAACATGCAGTAAATCAGAAACCAGAATAACTTCAGACTTTCCTACCATAACTAGAAGCTAAATGGCAGTGATTATGGCTGTGATGGCCATAAAATTCTTTACTGTGCTAAGTTATCAATAAACTGTGAGGGTAAGGAAAGGGACAGTTTCAGACATACAAGGTCTCAGAAACAAAGCTTTTCTCCTACACTCTTTCTCAGGAAGCTTACTAGAATACAGGCTTCACCAAAACAAAAAAGTAAATCAAGAATGAGGGAGCCAGCCATGGTGACACATGCCTATAATCCTAGTACTCAGGAGGCTGAGGCAGAAGGATGGTAAAGTTTGAGGCCAGCTTAGCTGCACAGTAAAATCCTCCATCATTTAAAAAAAAAAAAAAGCTGGGCTCACACCTAATACTAGGTACTCAGGAGGCAGAGATCAGGAGGATTATGGTTTGATGCTAACCCAGGCAAATAGTTCACAGGACCCTATCTTGAAAATACCCAATACAAAATAGGACTAGCAAGCGTGAGACCCTGAGTTCAAACCTCAGCACCACCAAAAAAAAAGGAGGGAAGAAAGGAAGAAGACATGGAAGCAGCAAACACATAAATCAGCCCAGAGAAAGGAAGTAACTAGGAGTCAATCAAACTTCCTATAAAAGGCCAGACAGTAAACATTTCCAATCTTGGTGACAACTACTAAATTTTCCCATTGTAGCAGAAAAGCAGATGATATGTAAATGAAGCACCACCACTGTGTACCAGTAAAACTTTATTTAAAAGCAGGTGACAGGTTGGATTTGGCCCCTGGATTATAATTTGCTGACACCTACCCTTGACCATGGTGAAGACGGTTCCAGGGATGCCAATTCTATGCAGGAATAGAAGGCAGCAGATCCCATTGGAGTGGGTCAGAAGGCACTAGAAGTCTGAGAAAATGAAATACTTAAGATATCTGTGTGTCTGAATTTTTTGAGATGATTTAGATCAGCAGTTAACAAGCATTATGGTCTCAGAACCCATTACACAAAAAAAGTTATTGAAGATCTCAAAAATCTTTTGTTTATGTAGATTACCACTGTTTACTCTATTGGAAATTAAAGCTGATGAAATTTTAAACATTTAAGTTAAAAATACAGTACCACCATAACAGTGGCAAACATCTCTAATCCCAGCTACTCAAAAGGCGAGGTCAGGAGGATTGTAGTTGGAAGCCAACCAGGCAAAAAGTTAGTGAAATCGCATCTCAACCAATAAGCTGAGCCTATCATGCCATTTACCCTAAGTAGGAGGCCAAAGTAGGAGAGTCAAGGTCCAAGGCAGGCAAAACCCTGTCCAAAAAATAGCAAAAGCAAGAAAGGGTCTAGGCACATGGTTTAAGTAGTAGAGTACTTGCCTAGCAAGCATGAGACCCTGAGTTCAAAACCCTACTACCACCAAAAAACTATATCAATAATAAACCCGTTATAATCTTAACATAAGTAACATTTTATGAAAAGTTACTATATTTTCCCAAACAAAAATAAGGAGACAGGCTTGTTTTATATTTTCACAAATCTCCTTCATGTCTCTCTTAAAGAAGATAGTAAGATGAATCTTTGTATATGCTTCTACATTCACTCTGTTGGAAGAAGTTGTTTTGTTCACATATATGAAGAAAATTCAATTTCAGACAGAGCCTCAGACAGTTGGTAAAGAAAGAAACATTATAATAACTTTTTCAGATAATTGTAGATATTCAACTTTGTACTACACCAAAATTCAACAAAAAAGGGCTTAAAGTTACTTGCAGTCTAGGATATGAAACCATACCTGCTAATATTGAATTTGTACCCTCCCAAAATTCATATGGTGAAGCCCTAAACTCTAAACTGTATTTAGAGAGAGGACCTATAAAGAGGCAATTAAGAATGCATGAGGTCATGAGAGTTGGGCTATGATCCAGTAAGATTAGTGTCCATAAAAGAAAAGACATCAAGAGATCTTGCTCTTTCTTTATCACGTGAGGAGACAGCGTGAAGGCAGATACTATGTGCAAATCATGATGATGGTCCTCACTAAGAATTGAATTGGCTGGCACCTTGACCTTGAACTTCAGGCCTCCAAAACTGTGTGACTGTTGTCGAAGCCATTCAGTTTGTTGTATTTTGCTAATGGCAGCCCTCCCAGCAGACTAACACAGTATCAATTGAACTTTGTTAACTGGGTTACATAAAATTTTATTGGTCTGTCTTACACTGTGAATCGTTCTTTTATCAAGACATAATTTTTAACATTATATATTGACTATTTATAAAGTATTGGCTTATGATGATCTTCTAAATGTGGACACCCTTCATTATATAATATCAAAAAGGGCTGGCAGAGTGGCTCAAATGGTAGAGCACCTGCCTAGAAAGCTCAAGGCCCTGAATTCAACCCCTAGTACTGCCCCCCAAAAAATTACATTTATTACTACTGTGGCTGTTCTTATCAGCCAAACCTTTTGAGTATTAGGAAACCATTAAACGCTCATGTCAGATACAAGGTCTCTCAAATTCTAATTTTTGTGAAAGTTCAACTTTTACCATTGGCAAAAAGCAGTGTCACTTGTTTTCCTTGAAGTACCAAATACTCAACTCTAAATAACTACAATTTGTTACTTGTTCCTTCAGATAAAAATGGTGCTCCATAAGAAAACTATCAATTGAGCACACAACTCCAAACAGTTACTATGTATGTGCTTTTTCTCAAATCAGACATCTCCTTCCACATGCAACATAAGTGACACGAGCTAAATATTCAAGGATTGAGAATAGAAAAAAGTAATTCATTTTATTCATCCATCGAGAACATTCTGAAGGAAACTAGCTCCTTTTTCACTGAAAGTGTGCGGTGGTAAAGAGCACAGGGACTGCTGAGTACTGCCTAGGCAAGCAGTTTTACCCCAAGTGCTTC